CGCTGGAGAATGCCCTCAAGTTCCGGCTCCGCGGCGGCCCCCCACTCGCGATGCAGGGCGTCCAGGCTGTGCTGCGCACGGCCCGCGCCCCCATGGGAAGCCGCGCCCAGGGCGCGGGGAGCCAAGCGGGAGACGACGCCCCAATGGCGGGGGGGCTCAGGGCACGACCCCGCGGGCCGTTCGAGGGGGAGCGGCGAAGGGCGGCGGAAGCTCAGAGCCTTGAGCTCAGCCGGCTGCGGACGGAGAGTGAGGGGCTCGGGGTCGCGCGTAGCTAACTCCGACTCGCCGATGATCTCCGCGCTCGCAATGGCCCGAGTCAGCCGCGCCTCAACCAGAAAATGAGCATGCATCTTAACTCCAGCCGTGGAACGGCAAGTGCCAGTCACGCCTGCGGGAAAACGCAGCTGGGCCCCAAGCCGACCTGGCATGCGAGTCGCGGCCAGCAGCTGAAGCTCAAGGTTGACATCTCCGCCGAAAATGCGAGGCGTCGGCAAGCTCTGCGCACGAGCCGCGACACTAGCAATAACGTGACTGTTGACATCGTTTCTGCCAACACAGTCCTGCAGGTAAACGCTAACCGTGTAAAAATTCGCTTGCCGAGGGAGGTGGGCCAGGGCCCCCGCGGCCCTGTGCCCGACGATTTGGGGCCCGAAATCAGGGAAGTGAGCGCCGAGAAGGGAACGGGCCAGCGCCGCGACCCCTGAAGACGGCCCCACCAGGACCCAAACATCCAGGGTCGAAGTGCGCTTTCCACCAGTTTCGATTGCACCAAGCTAGAGTCTCACGCATCTCTTCGGCGCTGATCAACTTGGGCGTGCTCCTGACGCAGCGCGGCATGCGACGAGGTCAGGTCAGGTTCAACGACTCATTGGTTGGGCCCCACGACGCGCCGTTCGCCGCGGCAATTCGAAGCGAAACGAAGCCTTCTCGCTCGAGATGCACAGGCGAGTTCCGCGGGGCATCCAAGACTGGGCAAGAAGAGGCAATCATGGGAAAGGTGGAACAGGGGGGAGGATCGTTACCCCGACGACGGCTTGGCAGCCGCCGCCCCTGCCGCCTTGGACGTGGGCGGGGGCGGCTCGGCTGCGGCGGCAGGCTTCGGCTGGGGCCCCGCGGCGGACAGCCGGACGGGCCCCCGCGCGCACCTCCACCGCCGTCGCGGGCGCCTGCCCGCCTGCCGCGGCCGAGGAGGAAGCGGCCCCGCCGCTCGGCGTCTCGGTCGCATGCGCGAAGGATTGCAATACAAAAAAAACGAAGGATTGCAACGAAGGATTGCAAACAAACCCTTCGCAATCCTTGCACGAAGGATTGCAACGAAGGTTTTTTTTGCAATCCTTTGCAATCCTTCGTTTTTTTGCAATCCTTCGTTCACATGCGCAGGCCTGGCTGGCTGGTCGGGCTCACTCGAAAGCTGGGCGAGGGCTGCTGAAACCGCGGCTGCTAAAACGGCCCTCCCGGAAGGAAAAAACAACTTCCCGGAATGATGCGCGGCACGCGAAACAGTCAACGGGCTTCTTCCCGGAAGGACGAAGACAATTTCCCGGAGGTCGATTGTAGCAGCCTCGGATTTAGCAGCCCTTGCCCGGCTTCCGACTCATTGGGTGGGGGCTGCCCAGGCTGTTCGTCAGGAGGCTGGACCTCCTCGCCCTCGTTACCCTTGCGCTTCTTGTGTTGCTTGCGGAGGCGCCCCCGCTGAGCTGCATACTGAGCTTTGAAGTCCTCCGCCTTTTGCCGTGACGTCGCCGAAGAACGTGGCACTTGATCCGGTCCGCGAGCGCCTGCTCGCGGCGCTCGACCGCTGCCCCATCCAACCCTCCGACGCCCGCGTGCTCGCCGAGGCCGCAGGTCCCGCCGCCGCTGACCTGGAGGCTGGCGAGGCGCCCACCGATCATGCCCGGAAGGCTGAGCGCAGCAGGCGGTTGACGCAGGCTTTGCCGCCATGGTGCGGTGGAGCTCTGCAACGGCGGCCTTATACTCCGAACCGTAGCGGTCCAACTCGCACACTGTAGCTTCCAACTGCCCCCGCTGTGTGGCCAGCTTCTGTTCGAGCGAGCGGAGTGCGCGCAGGTCCTTGCCCAGCTTCGCCTCGAGTCGCACGATCTCCTTCAAGGAGATCGTGCGTCGGCTCGCTCCTGAGGGGGGGGGCTGCCGATGAAGAAGGAGCGGCCAGCTCCTGCTGGGCCTGCTGCAGAAGGGTATGGTTCCTGCCTTCTCACACGACGAGAGGGCGGCAGCCCTGAGCGCGGCGGGGCAAGTGCAGCAGGCTATCCCGCGACGACTCCAGCTGCATCGCGACGCAAAGCGGCTCGGCCATTGGCGCGGGCGCTCTTGTCCTCGACAGGGGAACTCCTAAGGGGCCACATGCGAACCCTACCCCTACCCCTCAAAGATTTCTAAGGGGGAGGGTGGGATTCACTTCACTGGGGAGCTCCCGAGCGAAGTAAGCCAAACCAATTTGAGCCAAATTGACTTGAGCCAAACTTGCTACGGAAGAGGAGGAGGATGAGGAGGAGGAGGAGGATGCACGGCTTCCCCCGGGGCCGTAGGCGACCCAAGGAGGAGGAGGAGGAGGAGGAGGAGGAGGAGGATGAGGGGGAGGAGGAGGAGGAGGGGGGAGGAGGAGGGAGGGAGGAGGAGTGGAGGAGGAGTAAGGAGGAGGGAGGAGGGGGAGGAGGGCCCCTCCCCAAACGTTGCCGCTGGCCTCCCGCCCCGTCGCCTTCGGGCCTGAAGTTCTCGGGCCTCCAGCGGCCGTCTGGGAGGGCCCCGGGCACCCCCAGAGCGCGCTCTCGGCGAGGCGCAGCGGCTGGCAGGTGCGGCAGGTCCGTGTCGTGTCGGCCCCGGGGTTGGTTTCCTCCTCCCTCCTCCTCCTCCTCCTCTCCTTCTTCTCCTCCTCCTCCCCCTCACTCCTCCCTCCTCCTCCTCCTCCTCCTCCTCCTCCTCCTCCTCCTCCTCCTCCTCCCTCCTCCCTCCTCCTCGCTCCCTATCCTCCTCCCTATCCTCCTCCTCCTCCTCCCTATCCTCCTCCTCCTCCTCCTCCTCTCCTCCTCCTCCTCCTCCTCCTCCCCCTCCTCCTCCTCCCCATCCTCCTCCTCCTCCTCCTCCTCCTCCTCTCCTCCTCCTTCTCCTCTCTCTCCCCCTCCTTCTCCTCCTCCTCCTCCTCCTCATCGCCCCGTTCTGGAGAAGAACCGACTCAGGACGAAGAGCCGGCCCTCCCGACTTCGGATCCGCCGCACTTTGGTTGGTTTCGCAAGCAGGGCGGAACGTTCCGCCCTGCTTGCCGAGCTCCTCTGATGCCGCTTTCCGCCCTACTGTGCCCCCGCCGGTTTCGCCACGCCTCTGCGGGAGTATCCGCGCTACCTCTCCCCGAGGTGGACATTTCCGCCATACTGTTTCGCCTCGTTTGGGACGCATTTCCGGCACAATTCCAAGTCGGAAAGTCAACCGAAGTACGGCGGGGGCGGATCCGAAGTCAGGGAGGGCCCTCTGGGGGCCCTCCAGGGCCCCTCTTGGAGCCAGCAGGGGGCCCAAAAGGAGTCCAAACAGCCCCTTTGGGGCCCTGCTCCTCCCCCCTCGTCGAAGTAGGCCAGGTTCGTGTCGTGCCGACTTCGGCACTGCTTCCCGACGCCGCGGGGATCGTCCAGCCTTGAAAGGTCGGCCGTTCCCCACACGTCAGGATCGTGCAACATCGACCGATTCTGGGCCGCCGGCAGCGTTCAACGTCGAGCGCCGGCGGCGGGGCCGTCGCCGGTCGGCACGACGCGAGCCTGCTTTGACCCGCGAGGCCGATCGCCGGCGAGAAGCGACGGAGGCGCCCGAGGACTTCGAGCCTCGAGCGCCTCGGACCGTCGTCCCCCCTCTGCAGCCTCGAAGCGTCCCAGAAACGTCCTAGAACTCGAAACTTCGAAGCCTTCGAAACCTTCGAGACTTCGAAGCCTCGAAACCTCGAGCCTCGAAACGCGTCCTAGAAGCGGCCTCGAAACTTCGAAACCTCGAGCCTCGAAACGTCCTAGAACTTCGAACCCCGTCTCCCCCCTCTGCAGCCCATCCAAAGCTGGCCCTGACGCCCTGATTCCCCAGAGCTCCCGGAAACGGAGCAAAGGGGGCCTTCGAGGGCCTCCTTGGGGAGGCTCGGGGGGCCCTTTTGCTGCGGGTGTCCCACGCGAGGGCGCCGGTTTGGAGTTCGTCGCCGGATTTCCCGGATCCCCCGGAAACGGAGCAAGGTCGCGGCTGGCGGGCCAATTCCTGCGCGCGCCGGGTGGGGGTCAGGACGGCGTGAGCTCTCAACGCAAACTCCCTCAAATGGCGTCAGCCCCGACCTCCTGTTCGGGCTGGCCCCCAAGAGGCCTCAAGGCTGCCTCCCAAAGGCCCCTGAGAGGCCAGCCGCGAGAGCCCAACCAACAGCCGTGAGGCCTCTGACCCGCCACCCACCGCCTCCGAAGAGTGACAGCCGCCCGACCGCACCGCATTGGCAACAGCAACCCGACAAACGACAGCGGCGAGGCAGCATGGGCCGGCGGAATGAGCGAAGCTATTCAATTGACCCTGATTCCGGATCCGCCCTACTTTGGGGAAATTCGTAGGTAGGGCTTGGAATTTCCGCCTTACTTTTCAAGCCCCGCTGATGCCAATTTCCGCCCTACTTTTCTGTTGCTGCTTCCGCCCTACTTCTGTGGATATCCGCCCTACTTTATGTTCGATGCAAACATTTCATAACATGTCCGCCCTACTTTTTCGGCTTCTTATAGGTGGATTTCCGACGCAATTTGAAGTTGGGGAAAAACCAAAGTAGGGCGGATCTGGAGTCAGGGTAGGTCGGGCATGTCCCCCTACAGGCGAACTTTGGAGGAAAACTAAACATAGTTAAAACACATCCCAAACATGTTCAAGAGCACTAAAAAAGAAATCGCCCCCAGACAACTTTGGGACTGCTTTTGCGTACTGTACTCCCCCATGTGGAGGGGCAGGCCCGACTTTTGAGATGGAATGGCGTTAGCCCCGACGTCCTGTTCGGGCTGGGGGCCGCGTCGAGCATGCCCGCGAGCAGCTCGGGCAGAGATCCCCCGTCGTTGACGTCGAAGAGGTCGGAGGTCAGGAGCAGTTTCAGGCCCCCGTCGACGGGCAGCCTCGAGGCGGCAGGGGGGAGGAGGATCCGACCGGCAGGCCTCGAGGCGGCAGGGGGCGATTTGTGTTTGCGAGATGGAACGGTGGAAAATCACGAGTTGGGAGGACAACCTCCTCCTCCCTCCTCCTCCTCCTCCTCCTCCTCCTCCTCCTCCTCCTCCTCCTCCTCCTCCTCCTCCTCCTCGCTCCTCCTCCTCCTCCTCCTCCCTCCTCCCTATCCTCCTCCTCCTCCTCCCCCCCCCTTCCCCCTCCTCCTCCTCCTCTCCTCCTCCTCCTCCTCCTCCTCCTCCTCCTCCTCCTCCTCCTCCTCCTCCTCGTCCTCCTGTCCCACGCCCTGGCGCTCCTCGGACCCGCAGGGGTGGGGCTCGCAGATGGCCGCGGACAGCGGCACAGGCAGAGCAAACAGCGGCAGGGGCTCGAATCGTGGAGTTTGCCGGCGCGCTCTGGAGCCATGCGATCACGGCTTCAGAGCTCTCTCGGGCGGAGGGCAGTGGGGGGTGAGCCACACAGGGTGGGGGAGGAGGAGGAGGAGGAGGAGGAGGAGGAGGAGGAGGAGGAGGAGAGGAGGAGGAGCAGGAGGAGGAGGAGGAGGAGGAGGAGGCACACAGGGTGGGGGAGGAGGAGGAGGAGGAGGAGGAGGAGGAGCGGAGGAGGAGGAGGAGGAGGAGGAGGAGGAGGAGGAGGAGGAGGAGGAGTGGGTGAGCCACACGGAGGTAAAGAAAAGGGCCCAAGGGGCCCTTCAGGGCTCCCTCCTCTTGGAGCCAGCAGTCCAAAGGGCCCCTTTAGGGCCCTGCTCCTCACCCCTCATCGAAGCACGGCAGGTTCGTGCCGCGCCGACTTCGGCGTTGCTTCCCGCCACTGCGGGGATCGTTCATCCTTGAACGACCGGGCGTTTACGAAACGTCCGATCGTTCCACATCGAGCGCCTCTGGGTCGCTGGCGGCGTGCGGCGTGGAACGCCGGCAAAGGGGGTCGCCGACGGTCGAAAGGGCCCGAACCTAACATACCGCTCGCCCGATTCTCTGGATCTGCGAGGGCCTCCATGCGCCTGCGCAGACCCGCCCAGCGCCCTCGCAGCGCTCGGGAGCACGGCTCGACCCTCGCCCTCCCTCCTCGAACCCGCAGGGAGGAGCCCGCAGAGCGGGAGTCACGCAGGCGTGCCTTTCGTCTGGGCGTCGACATCTGGCCGAAGGGGTGGGGGACGGGGCCCAGACATGATGGCGTCGTAAATAAAACCGGACGGGAGGTTTGTCGCTATTTTCGGCCACGGGGGGCCCTCGCCGGGCCTCGGGGCCGTCCAACAACGACTCGGGAGGAAAAGCCGGCCCCAGGGAAAGGGTCTGGACTTCCAGGGACGCCGTCCTGAAAAAAGAAACAGGACGTCGCATGTCTGGGGGGGTCCTTGCCATCGCTCGGACGTCCATTTCCTGTGCGTTTTTCGGTTTCGTGCGTGTTTTTGTTTTGCTCGATGGTCCAGGATGGTCCTCGATGCTTCTCGCCGCGGAAAAAATGCACACGTCCGAGCGCTGCCAAGGGTCTGGGTCTGGGCCGGCGCTTCGTCGGCCTGCTGCTGCCAGGCGCGCAGGTCAGGCCGGGAGGGGGGGGGTCCTTCCCAGTCGCCCAAAGCAGCCACCCAACCCTGGCTCCTGATCTGCCGTACTTTGGATGATTTTCCGACCTAAAATTGTGTCGGAAATCGACGCCAAAGGAGCCTCAAGGGCGGAAATCGACGCTCAAAGGGGCCTCAAAAGTAGGGCGGAAATTTCCGCCCTACTTTCGAAATCGCCCAAAGTAGGGCGGATCAGGAGTCAGGGGGGGCTCACGGCGGGCCCTCGGGGGGGGGGGGAAGCTCGCACGCGGAGTTTCTGCAAGCAGTGGGTGCTCGGGCGGCTGCCTGGGCGAGGGTCGGCACCGGTCCACCAGTCGTTGCGCAATTTCCTCCTGGGGGCACATGTGCGCCCCTTGGGGGGATTTAGGCGGTCTCGGAGGCCAGCTGCGGGCCATTTGGGGTCCACGGGGCACGACGAGCGTCAGGGGCGTGCCGAATGGAGGCTCCACGTAGCCGTCTCGGGGGCCAGCGGGGCGCCCAACATTCACGAAGTGCGTGAGGGGTGTGCCGAATGGATGCCCCCATCCAAATGGAAAGGCCATGTCGTTTGTATTTCTACATCTCCCAGGGGCCTCGAGGCCACAATCGCAAGTTTCTGCACGTGTCCCAAGAGCCCGAAAGCTCAGATCACTGATGTTCTCACGCGTCCCAGCAGAGTGTGGGGCAGGAGCTGCGTGAAAGGTGGTGGTGCTGGTGGTGGTGGTGGGGGGGGGGAGGAGGAGGAGGAGGAGGAGGAGGAGGAGGAGGCGGAGGAGGAGGAGGAGGAGGAGGAGGAGGAGGAAGAGGACGAGGAGGACGAGGAGGATGACGAGGAGGAGGAGGAGGAGGAGGAGGAGGAAGAGGAGGAAGAATAATGACTGAATGAATAGCTCTTGGAGTCCTGCCTTGGTCCACCTGTTGCTGCACTACTGCCCGATCAATGACTGACTGAAATCGTGGCCTAGAACTGTGAGTCGGGTTCGTGGCATCGTGGCCCCCCCCGAGACGCTTCGAAATCGCAACCAGCGCGCTCCGCACGAAGCGGCACTGGCCGTCCTGCACCCCCACAGCGGGCACGCAGCCCTAGGGGGCAGGCTCCAACAGCACGGGAACTTCCGACCCACCAGCCGTCCCCCCGAGCTCCACCGCCCACGCGCTTCCCCGTACCTTTGGAATCTGCTTTAGGCGGGGCTCGCGGGGCGTAGATGATTGGCATGCGCGGGAATGGGCCAGGAAGAGGGGCGCCGGCGTACGTCTCGAGCCGAGCGGAGGGAGAAGAAGCAAGCACATCATTCGAAAGAACTCTTCAAGCTACCAGGTCCTTGAAGCGTTCGCTACCCGCGAAAACAGTCCTGGCCATGGACGCCCTGGAGGGGTGAAAAAACACGGTCTCAGCGCCCCGACCTGGGGTTGTCCTGACCCTGGCTCAGACCTCAAAACATCCCTCGTCAGATGACTTTCGCGGGCAGAAGGGGGCTCAGGCGGTGCCATCCGAAGACTCACGGCTAGTCCGCGGAGGCCATCTCGCCCATCTGCAGCTCCAAGGGGCCGCCCCCGACAAGTAGGTGCCGTTCTCCGTCTCCACCAGCGCCTCCATGAAGACCGCGAGCGCCGCGCCCATCTTCGCGCCCTTGTGGAACGCCGTCGCGACGATGGCCTTGGGAGGCCCCCCGTTCTGCGCCTTCAAGACCTGGCCCCTGAAGTGCGGGATCGAGCGGCCCAACTTCGCCGCTGTGACTCCTGGTGCGAAGATCTCCTGCTAGTAGAACTCCTTCATCTCGTCGCGAAGCTTGATCGCGTGCGCGTCGCCATTGTTCTCGAACTGCTTGCCCGCGCCGCAGAGGATCGCCGCCGTCGCTGCGTGGACGCGCGGCGGTCCGCGAGCCTTCCAGCCCACGTCGCCACCTTCGCGCTGCTGCTTCTTCATGTCCTGGCTGGTCTTGTTGCGCGTGACCCCCGCGGCTTTCACCGCTGCTGCCAGGCCCGCGCTGGCGTTCGGCATCTCGTAGCGGCGGCGCACTGCGCCCCTGCGATCTGCGACGCCCCTGGCCAGCGCCATGGCGAGGCGCGCGTTGAGCAGCGCGAGCTTGCCCCCGCCTCCGCCGCCGCCCTTGCTGTTGTCGGCGCTGCTGCTGCCCTTGTTTTTTCCTCGTCACCACCGTCGCCAAGGCCTGCTCTCTTCTGGCGAGCAGGCTGCGGCGCGTTGAACCAGGAGGGCGGCGCCAGGTTCCCCAATGCCTGCGAAGCTGCAGGCTCTCCCATGAGGCACGTGCTCTCGAGGCTGCGGGGGCAAGTGGGAGCACGGGTGATCAAGTGGGCCGTCGAGGCTGGAGCCGTCGAAATCGCAGACGGGGGAAGTGAACGAGGTGACTGGCTGGATTCCCCGAGGCGTCGAAGGCCCCGCGATTTCGAAACATAAAGCCCTGAGCGCGTTTAGCTGCGTCGGCTCGGCATGCGAAAACTTGCCGACAATAAGCACAAACGTTAGTCGGTGTCAGGGCATGGCATATATTTCGGAGCCCGCGGGTGTCTCTGAGGGGGTTCATGAGATTCCCGCGAGTTCGGACGCTAGCGTTGCATGGGGGGCCCCTATGGCATCTTCCGCGGATCAACGGCACTTCCACGGCGTGTCAACAGACGAGAACTCCTCCTCGGGTTGAGCACCAGCAGTGCCGGGTCGAACTGGCTGAAACTCTTGGGGGGGGGGGGGGTCGCAACGGTAAGCTGCTTAGATCTGTAAGCTGCAGCATCCACCGCGCAAGCAGCGAGGCTGTCGTCTCGCCCATTAAGAGACGGAAGTTTTGCGCGACCTCCTCAAAGATTTCCCGGTCCAGCGCCGCGCCAACCTCAAGCAGGTCGTCGCGTAACTGAAAGGCCTGGGGCCCAGGAGCTTGCAGATGTGCTGAGGCCCCTTGAAGGTAGGGGGGGGGCCCTCACGCTCGAATGGTAGTTCCCCGAACAGAGCTCCGAGAACCTGGAGGTGATGCGCGCGCCGTCGGGCCCAGCTTTGAACCGATCGAATTCGACGAATGCGCATCTCCAGACGAGGGCCCGTCAGTTTCCAATGCGCCAGAAACTCCTGATTCGACATCGCATGGGGATGACTACCACTCCAGTCCGTGGCCTTACCCGCCATGACAGCACGGCAGAAACGCGCGAGAGTGGCCCCCAGCTTCCGGTAGTCGCTCTCTGCGAGCGCGAAGGCCTCCTGCCCGCTGAGAAGCGCATTGTGGGCGAAGCCCTGTAGTAGTAGACGCCTGAATTTCCAAGTGTGTTCCAGTTGCCAGACAGCCCCCAGAGATTTGAAAGAAACCCAAGATGCCGAGACACGCCATTCGATTTCATGATGAGCATTATCTTTGAGGGCCATGTGGGGTCCCAAATAGCGTACTTGATCCTTAATGGAGCCTTCCA